AATTATAAAATCAAAGAGCTATTTCAGAGCCTGAAGGCATTTTTTTCAACTTTTTTTAGTTGTCAATGGACCTTTATCTTTTATTTATTTTTTATTTTTATGTGGTGCTGAGAATTGAACCCAGTGCCTCACACATGCTAGGCAAGCACTCTGCCACTGAGCCACAACCCCAGCCTATAAGGCATCTTTTAAAAAATATTATTTTTAGTTATATATGGGCACAATGACTTTATTTTATTTATTATTATTATTTTTTAATTTGTACACAATACATTTATTTTGTTTATTTGTTTTTATGTGGTGCTGAGGATCGAACCCAGGGCCTCACACGTGTTAGACGAGCACTCTACTGCTGAGCCACAACCCCAGCCCCTTTTATTTATTTTTTTATGGGTTGCTGAGAATCAAACCCAGTGTCTCACCCATGCTAGGCAAGTGCTCTACCACTGAGCCACAACCCTATCCCTAGAAGCCATCTTAAAAATCACCAATTGACTTTATTTTAACCTTAGTTACATAGGAGAATCACTTGGATTGATTAAATTGGAATCCCTGCAGGAGATAGGTTCTAAAATCTCCTAAAGTGATTCTAGTGGGTACGCATGAAATATAACTATTAATCTGGTCTAACTCTACCTTTTTTCTATAAATGAGGAAATTGAAGTTCAGAGTTCCTAAGTGACTTTTTCTAGATAACACAGCTAGTGTCTCTATTAGTGGTCCATTAGGAAATATACTTCCTTATATTAATAGCTGGAAAAATAGGAACTGATAAGAAGGAATGCTTCTCAGTCCCTAAAATTAGTGATCTCTTTCTCCAGAGTGCCTAATTTCTGATTGTCAATTGAGCCTGAAAATCATCAGATCAGTTGGTAAAATATTATTCAATATTTTAGGGGTTTCTTTGTCTCATCTGATCACAAGACTCACCTGGGATGCTTGTTAATTCAAGGCTTTATTTCAGATATTCTGATGCTGTAGGTATGGAGCAGGGCCCAGGAATTGGAATGTCTAATAAATACTCAAGTGATCTTATCATCCGTTATGTTGGGAATCATTGGCTTAGATGATGTCATAATTTCCACCTCTAGAGATGCCAGTAAAGAGGCCATAAAGAGCCAATCCAGCACAGTGATTTGGGTTTACTCCCAAGGAAGAAGGTCAGTGTCAAAGACCATGGTGCACAAGTCAAGTGTACTGATAAGAAAGAGACACCCAGAGACTTGAAAGCTAAGGGCAGTTCAAGACCTAGGCTGGAAATGAGTTGGCAAATGGTAGGAGTGAACACGAGGTGACCTCATATTGGGTGGAGCCCCAGACATAAAAATGAGATCAGAGACATGTATTTCTCTGAATGTTCTGCCTATTCCTAAAGCTGCTGGAGGAGTCTATGGAGTCCATTTGTGAGGACTCACCAAGAACCTTCTGTGAGGATAACGGATAAGTGTGAGATATGATACTAGCATGCAGCAAAATGACAATCCACTTGAAAAACATAAAACCCCAGCAGATAGTTGAGAGTGAAAATGCAGGTGATAGGTGGAATGGGTTGGACTATCAGAGCTACGAATGTCTTTAAATAGAAAGGCCTTGAGGAAGCTGTAGTAATCACAGAATGCTTTGGGGGGGGGGCTTCAACTAAAAGAGTGGCCAGGATTTAGACAGAGAGAGAGAAGGGGGTGGGACATAGAGAAAAGAGGGCATTGCTAAGCAAGGAAGCCATAGGATGAGGAGTTCAAACTGTCTTCCCATCTTCAAATATGTAGTATAGTGAAAAATAATGTGAGGGGAGGAGGGACAGCATTACAATGGGTAGAGAAAGAGATAATGTTTGAAGGGCCTTGAATATCAATTAGTGAAATTTAAATCTGGTGCTCCAGAAAAATAAGGATTTATTTGTGCTTTTCTACTGGGGTAAGTAACTTTGTAAATTTATTTACTCTGATAGGAGGATGCTGAAAACTCTGGATTGACACAGGCATGTTGCAACATTTAGGGAAGGGGCTCTTGTGAGGTCCAGGAATAAAGTAAAGTTTGTAGAAACAAAAAGAAGCTAAATAGAAGAGAATCTGTATTACTCAGTGAGGGGCTTGGCAGGGAAGCTGACAAAGAGGAAGATGAGACCCTGTCGCGACCCCTCACCGGCAAGGGAAAACACGACACAGGATTCTTCTTTCAGCAGTTTATTCAGGCCTTGTTTCATGTATCATCTTCTAGTGACGCCCCGCCGAGCGCCCAAGCATAGCCTAATAAAGCTTACTCAAGTCCAATCCAAAGCTGCCACACGGGGTTTTCTCATAGGGTGTTGAGGGACAGCGTGCCAACCTTCCCTAATAAGGAGTTGTTTACCAAGATCCACAACGGAGACCGGCGCCATCTTCTAATGGCGGCAACGGTCTACAAACACGGCTCACCACAGTTCCCCCTTATCTCTTAAAAAACAATGCAGGCGAAAGTAGAGGTCCTATCCCACTGTGCAAACATGGCTGCAATGTATGGCTCAGTCCCAAGGAGGCGCCTTCCCTAGATCTGACACCATATCAGCCGACGCCTTTTTTCGTGGTACGGGGCGTGGACGCCAAACCCGTATGCAATAGGACATGCTTCCCTTGAGGTCCGGAGATCGGATCACTCAAGTGCAGTGCCTTGCCTCGCATCCTGCATCGTGTTGACGGTGAAAAAGAAGGGGGATTTTACAGGTAGCCGGTCAGTGACTATGAGGTTGGAAGTGGCAACACCATCTCTCAGCCCCTGAGAAAATGAAGGGTCCAAAGCATAAAGTGTAGCACCAGCATGGAAGCCCATCTGCGTGCAATGGCAACAAGGCCTGCAGAGTGCATGGGCCTTCCATAACTGGGAAAGCAGGAAGAGGAGGGCATGCCAATCCCAGTGCAATGTCAAAGATAACTTGGGGTGCAATGGCCAAAACCCAGGAAATTATTGCTTAAGTAGTGCAAGCCAAACTTGTGGAGAGATACCATTCTCTAGGGCTGCAAAAGCCTGGACGATCATAGCCTTTTCTTGGCTATGGCGAGCTCTTAGGCGACAGAAAAGCCACAGACAAAGGACAACCCCAAAACAACATATCGCTCCAAAAATGCCTACTCCCACCCATTCCTTAAAGAAAGAAAAAGCAGAAGACAACCAATTGGTAAATTGGCCCAATGTCACAGGGTCCACACGAGTGTAGTTCAACATGGCAATTTGTGTCAGTTGGGTCTGGATCAACTTCTCTGCTTCCATGGACCAGTTTCCGGCCAGGTACTGTCCGATGATTTGAGAGGTATTTCTGGAATCATTAAATCTGAGAGATGTTATACATAAATGTGCACGATGATCAACACAACCCAAATGTACTAGGTCTGACAGTTCCTCAATCTGAGCTTGGAGGAGATCCACCCTTTGATTAACGGCCAAAATTCCTGATAAAATATGTTGATTGATTTTACTTTGAGACTCTAAAATGCTGGAAGTTTGTTGGATGACCTGATTAATAGTGGCAGCAGTTTGAACCTGGCTGGCCATGGCTACTCCAGCTGTAACTGCTGCAGCAGCAGACACTGCCACAGCTGTCACTATAGCTGCCGTAATTCCAAAATCTCTACGGGCTCTAATCAGTTCAACAATAGGAAATGACTCTGGATCCGAAGTAACCGGGATCAGGACAAAAGTTGGAATTTTCATAACCACTGCCATAGGCCAGGATCCATTCCAACACTCAGACAAGTAACAGGTAGTATTAGAACAATTAAGCATCCCCTGTGATGTAACATTAGCCAAAAGGAACAGAAATGGAGATTGGAGACAGACTGCTGCAGAGGGTAACGTTGCATTACCTAATAGTGCATTGTGTGAAATAGATTTGAGTCTCCTATCCCACCCCAAGTCTTGGGTACTGCCAGAAGCATTAAACAGCCAACTTTGGACTCCTCGTAATTGAGCCAAAGCAGAGATGTCGGCTGTGGCCCCCTTTTCATTGGAAATCAACCATTGAAACCAGGACCAACCCGCTCCTATAGAGGAATAATTGTTGGAAGAATTATACAAGTACCTTTTGAGAGAGGGGGAAAGGGAAAAACCTTTGGCGACCTGATGTTTCTCCCAAGAGTGATCTTGACAAGGTGTAAATATAGGAGGGAAGCCATACTCAGGGGTGCAATAAGGAGAAACCTTAAAATGAGTGGCATTAGAGGTCTCATTAGAAGGAGACAACGGAATTAACACCTGGGAAGTAATGGCCAAAGTGGTTATATTAAACTCAGATGTATTTGTCGGGACTCTTCTTGTCAGGCGTTCTGGAACCCACACCGGCTCCGTCTGGTCCCGGCCCCCGGCGGTGCTCCGCTTTCTCCGCAGCGTGAGCCCGCTCCGCAGCAGTGCAGGCAGGTCCTTTAGCCGCGGCCGCAGCGACGCTGGCGGCTGCTTGCGCTCCGGCTCGCGGGCGCTGGGACTGCGGCGCAGAGCACTGTCCGCCACCGCCACCGCTACCGCTGCGGCCAGGGCTGGGTTCTCGCACGGCGGCTGCATCTTGACTGAGCCCACCGCCATCCTCATGCCCAGACCGCAGCTGCGGCCCCGGCAGCTTCTCTCAAAAACATCTGCAAAGTTCTCTGCTTTACCTTAAGTCCTTTTGAACGTAGCAACCCATCTAGGGCCAACAAAATTGGGCTTGAAGAAGCAACACCCATAATGTTTTTAAAGCTATAAAGAAAGTGAAAGTACAAAAATCCCCGCTCTCTTCCTTTTACAGGGGAGCGTTCCGTTCTATGAATTCCCCGCTCTCTTCCTTTTACAGGGGAGCGTCCTTTTTCCCGCTCTCTCTCTATTTACAGAGAGAGCGCCCCGCTATTTGCTTGCGGATTCCCACTTTACCTGGGAACTTACCGGTGCACCACCCTGACTGCTGAAAGTTCTGGATCCTGGGTTCGAGGAATATAATTCCCCATCCGGGCCACCAATTGTCGCGACCCCTTGCCGGCAAGGGAAAACACGACACAGGATTCTTCTTTCAGCAGTTTATTCAGGCCTTGTTTCATGTATCATCTTCTAGTGACCCCCCGCCGAGCGCCCAAGCATAGCCTAATAAAGCTTACTCAAGTCCAATCCAAAGCTGCCACGCGGGGTTTTCTCATAGGGTGTTGAGGGACAGCGTGCCAACCTTCCCTAATAAGGAGTTGTTTACCAAGATCCACAACGGAGACCGGCGCCATCTTCTAATGGCGGCAACGGTCTACAAACACGGCTCACCACAAGACCCTATATGAATTCACATTTCTAAGTGTATTTTTAGAATAATGCCATTATTTACCCACTCTTGTTGGAACTTACCAAAACTCTGTTGCTCTGCATAGGCATATTTAGTATAAGGGACATAGGCATAAGATGAAGATTCTTGATATCATCTCCCAACTCTGTAAAGGTAACATTCATTTTTGTTATTATCTTCTAATGGTTGTCCTGTGATTTCTGTCTATAGGTAGTACCTTTGGGTGAAGAGAGACAACACCTACATTATGGAGCTTGTAGCAAGTCAAGACTATGGAGTTAGCTGAACCTGGGCAGGTTGTGTCACCTTGGACAAGTTGGTAACATCTTGAAGACTGTATTTCCTTCTCTGTAAAATAGAGAGAACATAATTTCCATATTTGTTAGATTGATTTGAGGAATCAATAAGATGTTTGTAAAAAGTTCAGTTAAATCTAACTGGCTCTCATCCAGGGATAATTTTGCTCCCACTCATATTTATTATGACTGGGGAGATGCTACTGGCAATCTAGTACGTGCTAAATCCAGGAATGTGCTAAACATCTTATAATGAACATGATAGTCCTATACATAAAGAATTTTCTGGCCCCAAATGTCAAACTCTGATATACTGCCTGACATAAAATAAAATAGCTACCATTTTTAGAGCACTTAATACAGGTAAGACTATACTAAGTGTGTAATATTTTTTTCTACTTTAATCCTTTCAGAAGTCTGGTGGAAGGTGGTTACTTTTATTTGGCCCACAAATGTGAAGAAATTGGGGATCTGGAAAATCAAGAACTCTCCCTAGAACAAATAGCAGGTATATATATTCAGAAAGAACAATCTAGAGAGCTGGATTTTAACTACCATGTTATATCATCAATATAATTAATGATATGATTTTTACTATTACTGTTACATAAAGGGAATGTAAATTTTAGAACCCATTCATTAATTCAACAAAATCAGGTGCCTGATTGATATTTTAAACTTCTTGACTTTCTCCCTTCTCAGAACATGGGTAAGCCAAATGGAATAGTTATTATAGCTATCATTTTAATTAAAGATTTCTGAATGGTGATGGTGTCTCAAAGCAGTATGATAGTGGTGCCCATGGTACTGGGTAGAACAAGATATTACTCTATTCTCCCTGAGATTCTTTCTCATGGGCCACTACTATACAGATTGTAAAAACTGTCCACCCATTCTGACTTCTAACCTAAATTGCAATTTCAGTTAAAGTGTTGGGAGTTTTTATGCCCTCAAACTGGATAGTAGTCTGAAACAATTGTATCAATAATATGAATTAGGAAAATAAAGTCTTTGGTTTTTCAGCCCTTGTACTTGGCATTAACAAATCAAGGCTAAGATTACTGTTTACAGGATCTCTAAATCTAACTTGTTCTAATTATCAGGAAGTGTTACTGGAAGCCTCCAAGTTTGATTTTATTTTTTTCAATACTGGAGATTGAATTTAGGGGCACCTTACCACTGAGCTACATCTCTATCCCTTTAAAAATAATATTAAAAAAATTTTTAAGGCAAAGCCTTGCTAAGTTGCAGAGGCTGGTCTTGAACTTGAGGTCCTCCTCCCTCATCCTCCTGAATAGCTGGGATTACAGGCGTGTGCCACTGCACCCAACCTCCAACTTGATTTTTAGGTTCATAATAATACAGTAATCTCTCTTTATCCTCTGGGAATATGTTCTGAGTTCCCTAGTAGATGCCTGAAACTAACTAAAGTACTGATCTCTATAACAAGTACCGCCCTGCCACATTTATCTGACAGTCAAGGCAGCTACTAAGTGACTAACAAATTTCATATACAGCCTGGGTACCCTGGACAAAGGGATTTTTTTACATCCCATGTGGGCAGGGTGGATGTTATGAAATTTCTTCATGGTGCTTAGAATGGTATGAAATTTAAATCTTCTGAATTGTTTATTTCTGGATTTTTTAAATTTAATATTTTTAGACCATAGTGCACCATAGGTAACTATGGAAAATGAAACTGTGCATAAGTGGGGACTACTGTAACTACAATTAGGTATTCACCTAAATGTATTATATATTTTTTAATTTGGAAAGGTTTTCATGTAAGTTATTAGAAGGGTAGACTCAGAGCCCTTACTATTCATGGGAATTATAGGAAGTACTTTGGGAAAATGCAGAACAACTTTAAAAAACTAAATGTAAATAAAGAGATAAAATATAAGCAAATGGAGCTACCTAAGAATATTTGCAAAATAACTCATTTGCAAAATAAGGTAAAGGTGACTGCCTCTTTATATGCAAAAGAGATACTGAAGGAGAAAACTAGTTGGGTGCAAAGAGCCCAATAGAGAGAGTGATCCCATGGTATGGATGCCTACATAAAATCCTGGGCTGGGTAGGCTAGAGCATAAGCAGTGTAGTACCTAGGTTAGTGGTTAAGACCATGGAACCAGAACACAGCTCAGTGCTTACTTGATGTATGACCTAGGGAAAGTGACTTCCACCTTCTATACTTAGGTTTTCTTATTTGTAAAATAAAGATAATCATAGTAGTCATAGTAGTTACGTTATAGGATTGTTATAAGGAGTAAATGAGTTAATGTGTGTAGGTGTTTCAAACTCAGGCATTCTGACTCCTAAACTTGAGTTGTAAATCTCCAAGCTATAGCAGCCTAGAATTGCCATTAGTATTATTGTGGTTGTTGTTATTGCATTATCATGTAATAGCATTAATGGAGGCACTAAAGATGAGAGATCAGCTGAGGTTATAGAAATTTAGGTGTAAATTAAAAGAACCTTTGCAAAGGTATTGTATTTAAAATCAGGGGTAAAATGGAATAAATGGAGCAAAGAGTCAAACCAAGACATTACATTATACAAATCCACAAGTAGTTTGATATTGAAGCTGAAGTGCAGAGAGTGAAATGAAAGATAATAAGACTGTGAGCCCAGGGACTCTAAAATTGTATTGTGACATTGAAACTAATGCAGAAATTCTCATTTTGTCATGAGAAAGTGACAGATTTACCTTTGGAAGGTTATGCCTTTATATGTGAAAGATAAATCTAAGCTAAGCTCACCCATAGATCATCAAATTTAGTCAATAAGAAGCTGGAGACAGAAATGTAGATTAGCTTTTGTACTATACTACTATTGTATCACTGGAAGAAAGTAGGTAAATTGGGAATATTGCTACTCTCACTGTATTCTTGATGTATATTCTGGGATCTGGGTGAAAAATAAACTTAAGTGACATCATTTAGAGTATGTTCAGATTCTGCTTTGCTGTATTTGCCTATTTTAAAACTACTCTGCTCTTGTATACCATGCTAAAATGTCACAAAGGTTGGTAATCTTGTTTCCAGGTAGCCAAGGATTCTTTCCAAATTCATCATCTATTTTATCAGCAATAATACTTTAATGAATGATTATTAGTAATTCGTTCAAATGTTCTGAGATTGAGTATGTTTATTATCATCTAATTGTTTTAACAGAGTTCAAATTGCTACTGATCAAATGTGGAATGCAAAAACCCAACCCTTCCCTTTCTCCTTGACTCATATTTCCCTTAGTTCAGAGTACATGTTTTATAATTCATTTTAGAAGTTATACACTCCTAGAAGTTGACTGGGGAAGCAGCTATATCTGCATAAGAGCCCATCATAACTTTTATTAAATATCATTATAGTAACTTATTATTTAAAAATATTTTTGCTGTAGATGGACACATTACCTTTATTTTATTTATTTATATGTGGTGCTAAGAATGGAACCCAATGACTCACATGTGCTAGGTAAGCACTCTACCACTGAGCTACAACCCCAACCTACTCTTTATAGTAACTTATAAAAAGTAGTTTCCTGAAGTAGAAGGGTTAGGTCAGAATTTTAAACCTCAGTGCTATTGATATTTGAGACCAGATTATTTCTTGTTGTGGTGCTTGAACTGTGCTTTGTAAATGTTTAGCTATAAGCCTGGCTTCTACCCACTAGATGCCAGTGGCAACCCCATCCTCCAAGTTGTAACAACTCAAAGTGGTTCCAGACACTGTCACATGTTCCTTAGGGGGCAAAACCACTCCCAGTTAAGATTACTTGATTAAGTTATTCCATTTAAGTTATTCACATTATAACATTATGTACTGAAATCAGGGAGGGCTTTTCAGAGAAAAGGAAGCTAGAACATACTCTTAAGATTAGTGGGGATTGGCGGAAACTGCTTCTCGGTCCGGATCCTGCTGAGGGCCGGTCAGGACTCACCCGTTGCTTTGGTTGCCCGGCAAGGGGAACGAAATGCTGCCATTCACATAGGTTACCAACATGGCAGAGATCTGATGTCATCAGAAAGCGGCGGAGGAGAGAACTTCATCAATACCAGCGGCGACAGAAACAGGTGGTCTCCTGGTGGGGGGGTGAGGCACAGACACCCGAGTCTCTCAATTTGTCGTCAAGCCAGAGGGGAGGAGCCGGGCCGCCGCCAGTGCCCAGAGCAGGCCCAGCGGCTCGCCGGTGTGGTGACCGCGTGACCCCAATTGGAGAGGGGGCGGAGCGGAGCCGCCACCCACGCCGGCGTGGTACACACATCACCCTAATTGGAGTAGGGGCAGAGAAGAGTCGCCACCCGTGCCAGGAACAGGCCCAGCGACCTGCTGGCAGGGTAGTCACGACACCCCAATTGGAGTAGGGGCAGAGCAGAGCCACCACCCGTGCCCGAAAGGTGGGCAGATCTGCGACCGACCAGCGGGACAGGCCCGGTGGCCTGCCGGTACGACAGACACGTCACCCCATTTGGAGTAGGGGCAGAGTAGAGCCGCTGCCCGCGCCTGCAGGGTAGGCAAACCTGCAACCGACCGGCGGATCAGGCCCGGTGGCCTGCCGGCGTGGTACACTCGTCACCCCAATTGGAGTAGGGGCAGAACAGAGCCGCCGCCAGTGCCCAGAACAGGCCCAGTGACCTGCCGGCGTGGTAGTCACGACACCCCAATTGGAATAAGGAGAGAGCAGAGCCGCCGCCCGCACCTGCAGGAAAGAAACGCAAGCAGTATGAAAAGACAAGGAAAGAAAGGACCACAAGCAATGCAGGTCAACGCAACTTTAGAAGAGGTAACAGCTGCAGCAGATGGAATGTCAGATAAAGAATTCAGGATATACATGCTTCAGATGATCTGGAGTATCAAGGAAGATATTAGACAGCAAAATCAGACAATGAAAGATCACTTCGACAATGAATTACGCAAACAAATCCAGGAAGCAAAGGATCAACTATACAGGGAGATAGAGGTTATAAAAAACAAACAAACAGAAATCCTAGAAATGCAGGAAGCAATAAACCAACTTAAAAACTCAATGGAGAATACTACCAGCAGAGTAGAACACTTAGAAGATAGAACATCAGAAAATGAAGACAAAGTATTTCAACTGGAAAAGAACATAGACAGCTCAGTGAGACTGTTAAGAAACCATGAGCAGAACATCCAAGAATTATGGGATAACATTAAGAGACCAAACTTAAGAGTCATTGGGATACAGGAAGGTACAGAGCTCCAAACCAAAGGAATGAGCAGTCTATTCAATGAAATAATATGAGAAAACTTCCCAGACTTGAAGAATGAGACAGAATCCCAAATCCTAGAAGCCTACAGGACGCCGAATGTGCAAAATCATAAGAGATCCACACCTAGACACATTATAATGAAGATGCCCAACATACAGAATAAGGAGAGAATTTTAAAAGCTCCAAGAGAAAGGAAGCAGATTACATTTAGGGGTAAGCCAATCAGGATAACAGCTGATCTTTCAACACAGACTCTGAAAGCTAGAAGATCCTGGAATAACATATTTCAAACACTGAAAGAAAATGGGTTCCAACCAAGAATTGTGTATCCAGCGAAATTAAGCTTCAGGATGGAAGATGAAATTAAAACCTTCCACGATAAACAAAAGTTTAAAGAATCTGCAGCTAGAAAACCATCTCTTCAAAACATCCTCGCCAAAGCATTACAGGAAGAGGAAATGGAAAATAACAATGAAAACCAATAGTGGGAGGTAGGACAGTAAAGGGGGGGAAAACAATCAAAGAGGAAAACAAACCATGTTTAGTAACATAAATAAACGAATATGGCTGGAAGAACAACCCATATCTCAATAATAACCCTAAATGTTCATGGCTTAAACTCACCAATTAAGAGACACAGGCTAGTAGAATGGATCACAAAACAAGACCCAACAATATGCTGCCTACAGGAGACGCATTTGATAGGAAAAGACATACATAGGCTGAAGGTGAAAGGTTGGGAAAAATCATATCACTCATATGGACTTCAGAAACAAGCAGGAGTGTCCATACTCATATCAAATAAAATAGATTTCAAGCCAAAGTTAATCAAAAGGGATAAAGAGGGACACTACATACTGCTTAAGGGAACCATACACCAACAAGACATAACAATCATAAATATTTATGCCCCAAACAATGGTGCAGCTATGTTCGTCAAACAAAGTCTTCTCAAGTTCAAGAGTCTAATAGACCACCATACAATAATCATGGGAGACTTCAACACACCTCTCTCGCCACTGGACAGATCTTCCAAACAAAAGTTGAATAAGGAAACTATGGAACTCAATAACACAATTAATGACCTAGACTTAATTGACATATATAGAATATACCACCCAACATCAAGCAGTTACACTTTTTTCTCAGCAGCACATGGATCCTTCTCAAAAATAGATCATATATTATGTCACAGGGCAACTCTTAGACAATATAAAGGAGTAGAGATAATACCATGCATCTTATCTGATCATAATGGAATGAAACTGAAAATCAACGATAAAAGGAAGGAAGGAAAAAGCATACATCACTTGGAGAATGAACAATAGGTTACTGAATGATCAATGGGTTATAGAAGACATCAAGGAGGAAATTAAAAAATTCTTAGAGATAAATGAAAACACAGACACAACATATCGGAATCTATGGGACACATTGAAAGCAGTTCTAAGAGGAAAATTCATTGCTTGGAGTTCATTCCTTAAAAAAAGAAAAAACCAACAAATAAATGATCTCATACTTCACCTCAAAATCCTTGAAAAAGAAGAGCAAAACAACAGCAAAAGAAGTAGAAGGCAAGAAATAATTAAAATCAGAGCTGAAATGAATGAAATCGAAACAAAAGAAACAATTGAAAAAATTGACAAAACTAAAAGTTGGTTCTTTGAAAAAATAAACAAAATCGACAGACCCTTAGCGATGCTAGCGAAGAGAAGAAGAGAGAGAACTCAAATTACTAGCATACGGGATGAAAAAGGCAATATCACAACAGACACTTCAGAAATACAGAAGATAATCAAAAACTATTTTGAATCCTTATACTCCAATAAATTAGAAGATAGTGAAGGCATAGATAAATTTCTTAAGTCATATGATCTGCCCAGATTGAGTCAGGAGGATATAGACAACCTAAACAGACCAATATCAATTGAGGAAATAGAAGAAACCATAAAAAGACTACCAACTAAGAAAAGCCCAGGACCGGATGGGTATACAGCAGAGTTTTACAAAACCTTTAAAGAAGAAGTAATACCAATACTTTTGAAGCTACTTCAGGAAATAGAAAAAGAGGGAGAACTTCCAAATTCATTCTATGAGGCCAACATCACCCTGATACCTAAACCAGACAAAGACACTTCAAAGAAAGAAAACTATAGACCAATATCTCTAATGAACCTAGATGCAAAAATCCTCAATAAAATTCTGGCGAATCGGATACAAAAACATATCAAAAAAATTGTACACCATGATCAAGTAGGATTCATCCCTGGGATGCAAGTCTGGTTCAATATACGGAAATCAATAAATGTTATTCACCACATCAATAGACTTAAAAATAAGAACCATATGATCATCTCGATAGATGCGGAAAAAGCATTCGACAAAGTACAGCATCCCTTTATGTTCAAAACTCTGGAAAAACTAGGGATAACAGGAACATTCCTCAATATTGTAAAAGCAATCTATGCTAAGCCTCAGGCTAGCATCATTCTGAATGGAGAAAAACTGAAGGCATTCCCTCTAAAATCTGGAACAAGACAGGGATGCCCTCTCTCTCCACTACTGTTCAACATAGTTCTCGAAACACTGGCCAGAGCAATTAGACAGACGAAAGAAATTAAAGGCATAAAAATAGGAAAAGAAGAACTTAAATTATCACTATTTGCAGATGATATGATTCTATATCTAGCAGACCCAAAAGGCTCTACAAAGAAACTATTAGAGCTAATAAATGAATTCAGCAAAGTGGCAGGATATAAAATCAACATGCATAAATCAAAGGCATTCCTGTATATCAGCGACAAATCCTCTGAAATGGAAATGAGGACAACCACTCCATTCACAATATCTTCAAAAAAAATAAAATACTTGGGAATCAACCTAACAAAAGAGGTGAAAGACTTATACAATGAAAACTACAGAACCCTAAAGAGAGAAATAGAAGAAGATCTTAGAGGATGGAAAAATATACCCTGTTCATGGATAGGCAGAACTAACATCATCAAAATGGCGATATTACCAAAAGTTCTCTATAGGTTTAATGCAATGCCAATCAAAATCCTAACGGCATTTCTTGTAGAAATAGAGAAAGCAATCATGAAATTCATATGGAAAAATAAAAGACCCAGAATAGCAAAAACAATGCTAAGCAGGAAGTGTGAATCAGGCGGTATAGCGATAACAGACTTCAAACTATACTACAGATCAATAGTAACAAAAACAGCATGGTACTGGTACCAAAACAGGCGGGTGGACCAATGGTACAGAATAGAGGACACAGAAACCAATCCACAAAACTACAACTACCTTATATTTGATAAAGGGGCTAAAAGCATGCAATGGAGGAAGGATAGCATCTTCAACAAATGGTGCTGGGAAAACTGGAAATCCATATGCAACAAAATGAAACTGAATCCCTTTCTCTCGCCATGCACAAAAGTGAATTCAAAATGGATCAAGAAGCTTGATATCAAATCAGAGACACGGCGTCTGATAGAAGAAAAAGTTGGCTATGATCTACATACTGTGGGGTCGGGCTCCAAATTCCTCAATAGGACACCCATAGCACAAAAGTTAATAACTAGAATCAACAAATGGGACTTACTCAAACTAAAAAGTTTTTTCTCAGCAAAAGAAACAATAAGAGAGGTAAATAGGGAGCCTACACCCTGGGAACAAATCTTTACTCCTCACACTTCATATAAAGCCCTAATATCCAGAGTATACAAAGAACTCAAAAAATTAGACAATAAGAGAACAAACAACCCAATCAACAAATGGGCCAAGGACCTGAACAGACACTTCTCAGAGGAGGACATACAGTCAATCAACAAGTACATGAAAAAATGCTCACCATCTCTAGCTGTCAGAGAAATGCAAATCAAAACCACCCTAAGATACCATCTCACTCCAGTAAGATTGGCAGCCATTATGAAGTCAAACA